ACATTTTACTCCACACAGCCCCCTTACCTTTAAGAGTGCTGGCATGGAGTCCCTGGGGTCCAGTGGGGCTACTATGCGGCTGGGGTGTGGGCAGCGAGGGAGCTGTGATCTTCCTGCTCAGCTCCCTTGCGCGCCTCTTAGTGATGCCGGAGCCGGAGTGACGTCATATTCCTGCTCCAGCATCACTGCTGTGCGCGCAAGAGAGCTGAGCAGGGAGAACACTGCTCCCTCGCCGCCTGCAACCATTTTTTTTTTACTTTTGGCAGAACACCAATTGGGAAATGCTGGTCTAAGCCAAGGGTGCCCAAAAGGTAGACCCCCAGATGTTTTTGAACCACAACTCCCATGATGCTTTGCATGACTTTAGAATGCCTTTACTATGACAAAGCATCATGCAAGCTGTAGTTTTCTAACATCTAGGGATCTACCTCTTTGGGCACTCCGGGTATAAGCGTTAAAGTTAGTATTAGGTTAATATATAAAGTGAAAAGTGGCACACATACTGTGACGAGAGCAATCTCGCCACATTGCATTGGAGAAGCCTGGTTGCTCGCCTGCTGCCTTTGGACTATGGCCCCATGTTAAAAGACATCTTTTCCCGGCAGAAAAGACTTATTTGTGCTTTTCTGCCTGGGGTTCGGTAGATTCAATCTACCGAACAACCGCTCGAATGAATAGACCACCTGGGAGCTGGAGTGTGCCGGCAATTAACCTCCCTGAAGCTGCGGTTAACCGCAGCTTAATTAGCGAATGCTGGGTGGCCGTCATTCGTATAACGAACACGAGGTCGCAGCCATTTTAAACAGGCAAACGCACAGCGGTGTTCGACGCTTAATTCATGGAACTAAAATCGGACACAGTTTTGCGCGAACACCGCTGAAGCTGCCGACCTCTCTTCTTGTTCGGTGAAAGTGCACGAACGGCCCGGTGTTCGGTAGTTTTACTGAATATGTTATACCCCAGATAGGAATCCTATGGAGCCCATTCGCATAAGAACTGACTGTGTAAAGACTTTGGCTCCATGGCGAATACACTGTATTCGTGTGGTCTGAGCGCCATTCGCTTAATAATGTGCGCTCAGACCTGAGCTATCTGGGGATATGTTAAATGTATGGTTTTAATGTAACATGTCCTACATGGTGTATTTTAACAGTAATTCATGTTTTAGTATCCCCACGTGCATAATGGCGATTTGCCTTTGTCTTGGGAGATAATTGATTTACTTCTCAATTATCTCCAAGGCAGAGGGGAGGAAGCCAGGATGCATTGTGGGAATATAATGTGACTGTGTGTCCTATTTGTCTACTTGTCTGTCTTTTGTCACAGTCTCCCATTTGGTCCCCTAGGGGAGTGTCCACCAGGTGGGAGACCTGCATAAATACTGGGCAGGTAGCCCTCATTAAACAGACCACTGCTTGACCCTCAACACGGAGCCTTGTCTCGTCTTTGGGGGGATTTACTGAACGCTGATAGAGACTGATTGCTAGGAGTGTAAGCCGCTTGGATGCTTTTCCTATTTGTCTGCTAGCAGTGATTCGTATGGTTCCAGTTCGTGTGTTTGGAGTGCTATATTGGATGCCATTCGGGAGTTTGGACCATTCCCTTATTGGCAGTTCGTGAGTTTGGTGCTCTACAGTAGCTGTGCCTGCATCTCTGGAAAGGGGGACGATCGCCTAAACGGTTTTTACCCCTTGTGTGCAAAACGGTTACACATACGTTTATACAATACAAAATATTACAAGTGTACACACTAACAGATACAGACAGATGTATAAGCAGGGGATATCTTTTTTTAGCAGATACTATAAGGATATAGAATGAGAGATGGTGAATTCTTTAAAACATTTTAATAGTGAGATAAAATAAACTCACAAATATATTGGCACAATCTAAATCAGATAGGTGCAAAATTGCATATTTACGTTTATGTTTGCAATTCCCTCTAGTTTGCATTCAGTTTTAGTGGATACATCCCTAAACATCTATTCTGGTTCTCTCTGTAATTACAATTAAAGCAAGCTGACTATCATTAAAGATTCAGCTTACATCCAAATTAGAAGATTGAGCCAGGTTCATTCTTTATATTGACATTTCAAGCCTGCTGATGAACGATACAGCGAAGCGTTCCATTGGCAGAATTCAGCTGCCCGAAAGTAAACAAATAGAGAAACAAAGAAAAAAGTTCCAGTCAGCCTAACATTAAAGGGACACTATAATCACCAAAACATCTTTGGATTAACAAAGCAGTTTTGGTGTATAGTTCATGCCCGTGTGGTCTCACCCCCTAAATGTGACTCACACAGCCTACATGAAAAATAAAAAAGGTTTTGGATCTTTCTTTCTCCAGACATTTTAATCTATTAACTCTTTTAATTGAACTACAATCACACACAAGGCACCTGCAGGCACTAGCAGGCTATTAACAGAGCAGGATATACATTAGATACACTAGATGTCTCGTTACAGGAAGTGTTTAGGAAGGCTGTGCAGGATACATTCAGGGAAGTGTGGTTAGTTCTGCATAAACAGAGTGATTTAAGGGGACATGATTAGAGTTGAGTGAACCTGGACTGTAAAGTTCGGGTTCATACCGAACATTAGGTTTTTTTGGACCCCGGACCCGAACACGGACATATCACTGTATGTTCGGGTTGGAGTTCAGTGTTCGGCGATTTAATGGCGCATTTTGAAAGGCTGCAGGGCAGCCAATCAACAAGCGTTTGACTCGTGTGTCCTTAGAAGCAATCACAGCCATGCCTACTAATGGCATGGCTGTGATTGGCCAGTGCAGCATGTGACCCAGCCTCTAAATATAAGCTGGAGTCGCGTAACGCCGCACGCACATGCGGTCTTATTAGTGTAGGAAGAGGATGCTGCCGCTGATAAGGACAGCTTAGGAAAGTACATTAGTGAGGTGGGTTGCACTTCATATCTGAGGGTCAAATAGAAGCGTCAAATACTGCTGTCACATTGCAGTTTTAAAACTTAAAATTATTTGGGTGCTAAACTGCTAAATAGTATTTTAGTGGGGTGCACTTCATATCTGAGAGTCAAATCGAAGCGTCTAATAGTATGCTTACAGCGCAGTTGAAAAAATTCTAATTTTCTGGGTGCTAATCTGCTAAATAGTACATTTTGTGGCCTGCTCTTCATATCTGAGAGTCAAATAGAAGCGTCTAATAGTGCGCTTACAGCGCAGTTGTAAAAATTATAATTGTTTTGCTGCTAATCTGCTGCTTACATTGGAGTTTTAAAAAGTCAATTTTTTTGGGGGGTGATAAATAGTATATTTGGAGTGTTCACTTCATATCTGAGAGTCAAATCAAAGCGTAACTTTGATTCAAATTTACTACATCGGTCATTTGTAAATAGTACATTTGCGGCCTGTGGTGCACTTCATATCCGAGTGTCAAATCGAAGCGTCTAATAGTGTGCTTACAACGCAGTGGTAAACATTCTTATTTTCTGGGTGTTAATCTACTAAATAGTACATTTTGTGGCCTGCTCTTCATTTCTGAGAGTCAAATAGAAGCGTCTAATAGTGTGGTTACAGCGCAGTTGTAAACATTCTAATTGTTTTGGTGCTAAACTGCTAAATAGTAAATTTTGGGGCGGGCACTTCATATCTGAGAGTCAAATAGAAGCGTCAAATACTGCAGTTACAGCACAATTGTAAACATTCTAATTGTTTTGGTGCTAAACTGCTAAATAGTACATTTTGGGGCGTGTACTTCATATCTGAGAGTCAAATAGAAGCCTCTAATAGTGTGCTTACAGCGCAGTGGAAAACATTCTTATTTTCTGGGTGCTAATCTGCTAAATAGTACATTTTGGGGCCTGCTCTTCATATCTGAGAGTCAAATAGAAGCGTCTAATAGTGTGCTTATCGCGCAGTGGAAAACATTCTTATTTTCTGGGTGCTAATCTGCTAAATAGTACATTTTGGGGCCTGCTCTTCATATCTGAGAGTCAAATAGAAGCGTCTAATAGTGTGCTTACAGCGCAGGTGTAAAAATTCAAATTTTCTGGGTGCTAATCTGCTAAATAGTACATTTTGGGGCCTGCGGTGCACTTCATGTCTGAGAGTCAAATCAAAACGTCTAATAGTGTGCTTACAGCGCAGTTGAAAAAAACTCTAATTTTCTGGGTGCTAATCTGCTAAATAGTACATTTTGTGGCCTGCTCTTCATATCTAAGAGTCAAATAGAAGCGTCTAATAGTGCACTTACTGCGCAGTTGTAAAAATTCTAATTGTTTTGCTGCTAATCTGCTGCTTACATTGGAATTTTAAAAAGTATTTTTTTTTGTGTGCTAAATAGTATATTTGGGGTGTTCACTTCATATCTGAGAGTCAAATCGAAGCGTAACTTTGATTCAAATTTACTAAATCGGTCACTTGTAATATTGTTTCACACCTACAACACTTGTTACACAGATCTAAGTGATAGAAAACAGATTGATATTTTCTACACTAGAATCTACCAGGTAACAAGCTGCTATATTTAAACCAGTTATCAACAGCTAAGAGGTACTTAAACAATATTGTAATTCTGGGGCAATACCCTCACAAGTCAAACTGAGAGATCAGTTTATAGGGAAAACTGTTGCCTGGATACAATTCTAAAACAATTTCCATATGTCCTTTGCAGACTTTACATGCTGGAAAAACACAGGTGCCAACTGCTGTGGCTTTCTGCAGTGTGCATACCATCAAGGAGGGCAGGGTTGAGGAGTGGGTGGAAGATGATGTGAAGGATAATAAGGTCCTAGACCCCACATGGAATCAAGGTCATGCGAGTGACGTGTGTAGTTTGGAGGAAGAGGAGCTGGTCGCACAGAGGCACCAGCACAGCATAAGAGAGAGCAGGGTGCAAAAGCAGAGCGGCCGTCCCCTAGCGCACGTCGGCATGTATTAGCTCGAGAATTACCAGTTATCCAAGTAATACATGTAGCGATCAAAGGATCCATAATAGAGTTGAGCAAACCCGAGCGCTTGCTGCCTTCCTTGCATGTGGTAGCCGTTTCTCAGGGTCGCTGTACGGAATGGAACCCTGATTTCCCGTTACCCTTGGTCACCATGGTAGGCGCAGAAACTGGCATCGAAAGTTGATATGGATGACATCCGCATGCAAAGTCGCCGCCAGGGGGATGTGCAAATATAATGTCAACAGCTACTCTGCAGAACGGAGTTGTCTTTTTTTATATGTCCCAATATTTTGGGGGCTACCCCAATTAAAAAAAACAAAAACATAAAAAACTGTGTTGGCTATCTCATCTTCCTCCTCCACCGCCACCACCTCCTCAACCTATGGGTCACTTAGTATAAACTATGTACACATTAGCAGAGGCTTGTGAAGGCCTTTTCTCCATGCATCAAGAGTTGAGCATTTCTCCTTGCATCAGGACTGCAAGAAATGCACCGCAGGCCGCAAATGTTTCTTTTTTTGTATGTCCCAATATTTTGGGGGCTACCCCAATTAAAAAAAAATAATATATATATATATAAAAAAAAACAGTGTTGGCTACCTCATCCTCCTCCACCGCTACTTCCACCTACACCGCCTCGGTCACCGCCTCCTCAACCTATGGGTCACTTAGTATAAACTAGGTACACATTAGCAGAGGCTTGTGAAGGCCTTTTCTCCATGCATCAGGAGTTGAGCATTTCTCCATGCATCAGGACTGCAAGAAATGCACCGCAGGCCGCAAATGTTTCTTTTTTTGTATGTCCCAATATTTTGTGGGCTACCACAATTAAAAAAACTAAAGAAAACATAAAAAACAGTGTTGGCTACCTCATCCTCCTCCTCCACCGCTGCTTCCACCTACACCGCCACGGTCACCGCCTCCTCAACCTATGGGTCACTTAGTATAAACTATGTACACAATAGCAGAGGCTTGTGAAGGCCTTTTCTCCATGCATCAGGAGTTGAGCTCAGTTTGAACAATGAAAGAGAATACCCTGCACTCCAACCCTCTCTCAAATGGATAATTCTGGTGATCCTCCTGACAGCCATGCTTTGATTTATGTTCTGCCAAAGCTAAAATCAAAGATTCCATCTAGTGCTATATTATGGCTCAGCTATATTTTTTCATTTTATGTTATTGTAAGTTATTTCCCTATCCACATTTGTTTGCAGGGCACTTCTCCTACTCTTGACCCCATTTTACTTGCTTTTGCAGCTCTCTAGCTCTTTCCAGGATTTAGAGGCATTTTTGTGCCCAAATGTTCGGGTCACTATTGACTTTAATGGGGTTCTGGGTCAAGTTCGGGGTCAAGTTCGAGCCCGAACCCGGACTTTTTTTCAAAGTTCAGCCAAACCCGTCGGACCCGAACATCCAGGTGTCCGCTCAACTCTAGACATGAGCTATACACCAAAACTGCATTAATGTTTTGGTGACTATAGTGCACCTTTCAATGTTTCCCTTAGCTTCATGCTTTAAAGAAATAGATCCCCTTTCTCCAAACCTAGTTCTGTATAGTGCAGTGTGAATAGAAATAGTATACAAAGAAACCCATACTTCTGTTACATTTATTGCATTTGGTGGAACTCTCTGATTGGTTACTTTCAATCAACCAATCAGAGTGTTGTTATGAGTCAAATTACACAGTGTGGGAAAAATAACTTTCCCACGCTGTGTAAAATGACACAGAGCACTCTTGGATGGATTTCAAGCTAACCAATCAGAGTGCTGTGACAGGTAAATGCAGAGACTTACCTGTCAGTCTCTTCATTTACCTGTCAGAGCACTCTGATTGAATGGCTTAAATCAACTAACCAGAATGCTCTGAGCCTAATTGCAGGGCGGGGCAAGGCTTTATAAGCCTTCCTCTGCCCTGCAGAGCTCAGTCTGCGCGGTGCCCTCCATGGGTGAACATTGGGGGTTTTTTTTGCGCTCTGTTTTTTTATTTTGAAAGTGCGACAGTTATTATGGATTTTTATTTGGCCTTTTTTGGGGCTGAAAAAATAAGATTTTAGAAAAAAGACAACATCAAATGGTAAGTTTTTTTTATTTATTTTTTTACAGGTACCTAGTTAATGGTCCCCCTCATTATTTTTAGGGTGAGGGGGGTAGGTAGGTGTTAATTTCTTTTGGGAGGGGGGTGACTAGGGGTTTGGGGACCCCTAGTCACCTGGGGGGTTAAATCTTTATTTAGGGCCCCCACCCGCCCCCTTATTTCAATTTAGGGCCGCCGTTCAGGGGTGGGGGGCTTTAGGTTAGAAGCCCCCACTCGTGCCGCATGGGTGGGGGCTCAGGAGGGGGGAAACTTTGTTTTTTTACGGTACAGTGAGTAGGGGCATAATTTACTAATACTAAGTCATCTTTACTTAGTATTAGTAAATTTGGCTGAAAGACCAATTTAGGTCTTTCAGCCTTTTAGTAGATAGTTCCCTAATACCGTGGGAATTAGGGAGTTATCTACTTATTCATTACTGTCATTCCATTGACTGGCCAAGTAACTTACATTTTATATGCATGTGTGTTACTTGATTGTTGTAAGTGTTGCAAATGCTTACAGCTGAATCCTGGCTATGTTTGTATACTTTTTATTTAAACTTGTATACAGTGTAGCATTCTTCATTCTTCCACTGGGTAGGTATATTAGTACTTCGGCAATAGTGTGCTTCGGAACTTTGGCACTTCGGCATTTCTGAACTTCGGCAGTTCGGAACTTCGGCAATTCAGCGATTCGAATTGCCCAGAATTCATCCGAATTAATATTCGGAACGAAACAAATTGCACATGTCTAGTATCTGGAGTTTGCCTTGTATATTGGGTGTATGACTCTTCTTATATTTTAATAGTATATATATATATATATAGTATTGATTAGATTTCAAGAGAGAAAGCATACAATCAGCACATTTTGTGTACCAATTAGCTCTTACCTCTAAAATTATGCTTATTTCTATGAGAACACATATCTTATAGGCATGTGTTTATGTATTGTACAAATTGCTTATACATATGTATTCATATAATGTAAATCTCCTTTTGAGATTTAATTAAACAAAAAAAAAATACTTACCATCAGAAGTCTTCTTTCTTCAGCCCTAAAAAGGGCCAAATAAAAATCTTTGTGAGGGCTTTTCATAAACTGAGCTCTCATAACAGGGGGACACCTAAGGCTTTCCCATGCTATATCAGCAATGACATAGCCAACTAATCACAGCCAATCAGAGCACTCTAACAGATATTACATTAAATACAGCCTTTAACAAGACTTTCCATGATATCAGTTTTCACTTTGCAGCAAGGCCTTGTGGGGGGGGATTCATTTTATTGCGTTACGTTTTAAATTTTTTAAGTGATTTTTATTTTTTGTGCAGGGAGTGGAGGGGGTGTACATGTCACTATTTTGGGGAGTGGACAATAGAATGAGAATTGGCAGTGCAGTCAGAATTCAGTCATTTTCACCAGATTTTGTCCATCAGGACAAAATCCAGTGTTTGGTAAATAATGCCATGGGACTATTCTTGACATTGCACAATTTAGAGAATAACTGTGTGTATGTGCACAAAAACCTCAATAACAACACTTAATCTCATTCTTTTATGTGTAATTTAATTGCCAAAACTTGAAATAAAATTACATTTGCACATGAAGAAGAGCACTCACAAGAATTAGTACGTTAAATGAACACATTATCATTTCTTTTAACGTGAGATCAGGCAAAATGTTAAATTAGCCCTATTTTAAGAATGTATCGGTGTAATTATAACATTTTACAAGCAACTCTGCATGAATAATGCATTACCGCTTGAGATAAATACCATAAAAACAGTAATTATTTGCTGACATCTTTTTTTTCCTTTTCTTTCTTTTTTTATAGTTATTAGTGTATATGTACCAAAGAAACATAGAAGGATTTATTTGCTCATACACAGAAATTGGTATAAACTGGCAGCTATACGAAAACAAAATGTTATTTCGCACTGCAAAAGCTCGCGTTGAAACATAGATTTAGCTGTATACATTTTTGGTGATGGGATTCTTACGCAATTAGGTGTATTAGCAATGTTTATCAGTGCACAGAATTATAGATTTAGGAAGCTTATCTGTAATTATGAAACAAATAAAGCTATTGCTGTACATTGAATAGTGCAGTTATATTTAAGCAACCATTTTAATAGACGAATATTAATGTTTTTAGTAATCAATGAGAACGTTTGAAAGTTCGAAAGAAGTTGAACTTCAATAATTACTCATGTAAGTGAAGATTTCCTGCGTCAGGAATATTCCTTTATGTAATGCCATGGAATTTTAATCAATTTGGAACTCTCTGTATTTCTCCTTGTCCCCAAACCAGCTGGTGAGTAGCCCCAATGAACGAGACAGGACAATGTAAGGTTCAAGGTGACTTCTAACGTTTAATAGGCTGTGTAACAGGTTATATTCAAGAGGAAATGGGTGGTCTTATAAACATTATCCAATAATAACATAATTTATCAATCTTATCTCAACATATCTTATCATATAGCTAGCTTGCAGGTGTAATGGGGGAGTACTCATTATAGTTTCAGTTTAACTACTCAGCTGAAATAAAAAGTTACTACGCACTCATAAAATAGATATGTTACTACGCAGTTAGACTTACATAAATAGAAAACAGGAATTAAGACCAATGTTCTGAGACAGGAAAGTTTATAGCTCTGTCTAGGGGTATATTCACTAAGCATTGTATATAGACAAATTATTATTCCCAATAGCTGACATGTTCCAAGTTAGCCAATTTTAGCCCCTTAAGGACCAAACTTCTGGAATAAACGGGATTCATGACATGCCACACATATCATGTGTCCTTAAGGGGTTAAACAGGCTGGACATCCGGTCATCTGTAGCTTGAGCCTTGGGTCACTAAGCATTGTATATAGGCAAAGTGTATTATTCCCAGAAAATTAGTAACTAACCCCATCCTGGCATAGCAAGGGTACATTATGCGTTGGTAGAGGTGAAGAAAATGTATGGTTTCCATTTGATCTCTCTACAGCGAATGACAGGTACAAAAGGCTATTTTTATGACCATAATTGACAAGGAGCCAAGAGTCACTCAGATCCCAGATAGAGGTAAATGCAGAGGCGAGGATTTCTAAATTTTATAGTATTTTTCAGACTCAACACACATATTTGAATATAAGGGAATAAGTAAACATAACATTAAAAAATTACACAATGTGTACTGTGGCGAAACCAACCTCGCCACTGGGCATTGGAGAAGACTGATTGCCAGCCTCCTGCCATGTGACTATGGCCCCTGGGATGTATTGCCCTTTAAAGACATGATTTGGGCATAAGGGATTTGTGTTGGCCTGCTGCTGGCCCTTTAAGAACCATCTGGGGACATA